AAAGAAAAAGTGAAACAAAATAAGTTAATGCTAATGAATAATATGATAATAAAATAATAAAAASCGACATAAACACAGCTAACAAGCGTGTGCGGCGGATGGAAAACTGTATCTTCAATCATCAAACCATAATATGTATAATTTAAAACAAAAGACTCAAAATAAATACAACAACTACTTGCATACACATTTAATTATATAATTTCATGTACAACATAGCAACATTATTGATAATATATAAATAAATAAAGAAAAATACAATTACAAAAAATTAGTACTAAAATCAGAACAAAACCATTACTTCGCACATAAGCGGGTGGCGCAAATGTATTTCTACATTATATATATATATATATGATTTATATAGATGTTCTTATATTTTTGCACCGATTCAGGTATGATATAGCATCTTAGGCATTGCAACGCTCTGCAATGAATTTGCAATGGTTCAGGGAAAATGTTATGGCATGATAGCATTTAAAAATTGTATATGTATATATATATATATTTTATTTTTATTTCATTACTCAAAATTTAGTTTTCAAGGCATAAAACCATAATCAGTTCAATACATTTGGCATTTTAACGAACACAATGTCTGTTATGTATGTATATTGTGAGCGCTCTTCATTAATTTTCCTATGTATGTAGTTGTTTTTGTGTATTTTCTGAGGGAGTTATACAGGTTATGACTATGTAGAGATATCACAAATGATTGTAAGCTTTCTAAGCGCTTGTAAAACGCAAAAATAATAAAAAAAAACGGCATCATAATGAAGTGTTAGCAAAAAATAATAATAATTAATGAGCCTAGCAGCATAGTAAGCCATTCTGAAAAGCGGAAATAAATACTAAAAATACTCCAAATGATAAAAAAAATATAAACAAAGTTAGCAACATTTGTGTGCTAAAACTTAACACACACACACATACACAAGTAATTCATATGTTATATGTATATGCTAAAAGACCAACCAAATATAATAAGAAAAAATTAAGTTAAACGGTAATTGCGTAGATTGAACATATAGCCACGCTGAATAGCAAAACAACAAAACACAAATCTTAACAACCCATACTAGTAAATTTAATATATACATACATACAAATATATGTGGTTTGAGGCAGTGAAAATTTGTAAAAATTCAATAAAAATGTAATGCAAATGAAACTCAATTGAGAAATGTTAAATAATTAGATTATTAGGTAGATAAAATGTGTTGATCGAAACAATATAAATAATTAACAATGAAATTGAGAAAATCGTAAACAATTGTCATGGCCGCTTTCTATGTTGTTTGACAGTTATCTAAAAAAAATCGAGAAAAACCTGAAACTTGAAAAACTTCTGCGCGCCGAAATGTATGCAAACATAAAAAATTTCACACGTATGTTTTCTATTGATTGTCTTTCTATAATTTCAGAATTTAACACMTTTCTAAATATGCTACATACATACATATGTATATAAGTCAAATGATTTGAATCTTGTTGCTCCGTTTTTTCGCAAAACTTTTATTAATCACATTCAGTGAAAAAAAAAAACAACTAGAAAATTTATTTACTTCGAAATGGTTTACTTTGTTTTGGCAACACACAAACAATTTTAGCGAAAAATTTTACAAACTCCGCCCTATTTCTATACGATAACATATCGCGTCAATATTATTAAATACATACATAAATAAATTTCTACAAACGTACCTTACATTAGCGATAGGAAAATATTAAACTGCGTTTTTTTCGATACTCTGGAGTTGCTTTAAATAACAATAAAAGTAACGGTGGAAATTTCATAGAAAATTAATATCACTTCTTGAAAAAATTACAATATTGTGTATTAGTTTCATAAACGGGTTCAATCGTTATGTGAGAAAAGAGTATAAAAAAGTTTTGAATTGCCCAAAGGATAGAGTTAGACTAAGCGATARTTTTTCAAAGCAGCAAATGGTGCGGATTTTTTTTTTAAATAAATCAAAAAACAATTTTCACTTGATTTTTTATAAAGAAATTCTACGGACACTGTCAAATCAAAGTTGACGCTTTTAAATCTACCTTCCAGCAAATAACACATTTTTTTAAATTTATTCCATTTTTTTACTTTTGTGTTTTATAAATCATTYCAATTCGATTCTTCAAATAGAATCATTGTTAAATCCTTCGAACCGGATATTCTGCCAAGTGACGACAACATTTTGGACAAACCTCAAAATCGACATTATCGGTTGCTGTTTGTGTAATGTGGACATAGGGCAAAATAGATCCAAGGTCGCGGTGCATTCCTCATTCATTAATCTATATATGCTATATATGGCCATCAAGCAGTGTATTTTCCGTAACATAGCCTAATTTATTTTTAAAGGATTGTTTGGATTTTTAACACAAGAGTGCGCATTTGTGTGAAACTATATTAAAAAGATTTCCTACACACATACATACATATTTTAACATATACATATATATATATTTATATTTTTTTTTTTTATTGCTCGGCTTTGAAGCTATACAAAAACAAAATGAGAGAATCAAGCAAGTTTAGCGAATTAATAGTTATAACTTTTCAAATAGAAAAAGCTCGTTGGCGCTTATTACTCTAAAATTATTAAAATGATTTAATAAAAACAGAGGAAACTGCTGAAACATAATAAATGTTAAAAAAGGAAAAAATGTAAAACATCCAAAAATAGTTAAAAAAAAAACTAAATAAATCTTGCTGTTATATACTTAATTTCTATTATTTATTTGCATACATTTTAACATCTAACTAAGAAGTCTGAGTGCAGAATGTGAAAACTTTTGTTGCTCTCGTTATCGGCAACTTCTCTTTTGTCTTGCTCATCGTATTCGTATGAGCAAATTGTTGTAAATATTAATTCCAACCGAGCGYATGATTGTGAACCATGGAAAAAATTTCAAAATGAAAATGAATGCCGAATTGCGTAGCAGCGAACTGTTACGAATAAATACACAAAACGYGTCGCCCGAGCCCGAGTAACTCGGTGTCATTCGTCTCTCCTCGTTACCACTCGCCTGCAAACTACGAGTTTCGGCAACAGAAGTCTCCTCGTCTGAACCAGTTCTAACATAATACATTTATATTTACTTAAATATAAGCGCAATCATGTGCAAATAATTGCGAAAATCACTTACTTTTCTATCACCAAAGCAGCATTAAAAAATTTTCATGTACCTTTGCTAACTGAAACAAAGAAACAATTAAGAAATATATTGAAAACTCGTACTATCCACTACTAAGAGTAAATACAATGCAACAAAGTAAAAGAAAATAAAATTAAAAATAATAAGTGCAATATAGAAAAAAATTATAAATAACGAACAAATAACATAGCAAAGTAACTTAGCCAACTGAGAAAATATATAATGAATATATAAATCGTAATAATATATACAGATACATACAAACATACATATATTTGAAGCAACCAACTACACCGATACATTAAACGCGTATTCAATACGAGCAAAAACAAAAATAACAAATTAAAAAAACTAACTAGAACTTAATAAAAAACTAGGCAAATAAAATTAACGTAATTAATAAAAAAAAACATAAAAAACATTGATTTAAAGCAAAATAAACAGTATTCTATCAAAATGGGGCAATGCAACGGAATACGCTTAATTATTTTCACTAATATCCTAACAGTTACACCGAGACCATATATTATTTTAAATATTCTTAATTATATTTTATTGTTGAACTCAAAGTAAGTGCTTAATTAAAATACAATACGTCCACTTTTACGAAATTCACTCAGTCCTTCCAACATTCTTCCGCTTATGTGAAAATATTTTTTATTAATTTTTTGTTTTGCCTCGACACGACATATTCGTTCACACATGCAAACATGTATTTTAACATAATGGTGTTTTTTTTCATATSTTAGCTAATTTGCATTGCCCAAAAAAGCTTGAATATAATATATGAAATACTTATTGAAAGCATACTTACATATGTATTTATAAAACATATAGTAAAATTATTGTACGTGAAGTATGACAAGCAAAATATAAATATAATTATAAAGTTAATGTTAAATTAAAATAGTCGAAAGTCAACAGTTGGTACATATGTAAAAAACATTAATGCAAAAAACCATATGCAGAGAGACACGTAAGACAAACATAATAATTAACAGAAACTGAATTATAACATGAATATGAAAATGACTACAAATAAAAAATATAAAAATAAAAATACATGAATATGTATGTACTTTGTGTATTCTTGTGATGAAAGGGGGRGAAGAAGTTAAAAATCATCATAATAAGGGCGTTTTAAAATACCAATAATTTTTTTGTCAATAAATATCTCATTTCTAACTCTGTGCCTATTGGGGTAAAAATGTTAAATGACTCGCTTCTTCCAGCGGTTTTAGTACGCCAAACACATTAAAATCGCAAATACATTTTGTTAACGAAATTATTAAAATGTCAAAATTTTACAAATCGTAAACTGCGCTATCGTAAACTGCGCTATCGTCATTTAAACCGGAACAGTGCTGCACAATTTTAGCACCCTTTGCCGTAATCTTTAATTTAGAAAAAAAAAATGAGTTGCCTATTTATAGGCGCGTTTTTTTCATATTCATATACAATTTCGTATTAAACCTTAATTTCAGGCTTAAAAAATAATAATTGATAGATTGAATCGTCAAAATGTTCCATACTACTATACTCTACGAATATTCTTCCCGAAAGCCAGCTATCTATTAAATCACACTTAAATTATCCGACAGCGCTCCCAGAGATTTCTGTTATAATTTATATTGGTTTCACGAATGGACAAAACTAACCGAAACCCTTATATGTAGGGACCGCTTATTCCTTTTTCAGTCATGTGGTTAATTATTTATAACGTGTTTGCATGAAAACTGTTTAGATGTGTTATACTTTCGGGTAGCCTTCACTTACTGGGAGGGAATATTTTACGTTCCAAACTTCAAAGTTATAACGTCTGAAATAGATTCCAATCAGCTGTTTAGGTGTGCAGCTGTCAAAACAAGTACTATACATTTATCAGACCATTATCAGGGTAATTGGTCACTTTTGACAATTTGGTAAGTTTATTTATGATATTAATAACTACATTTGCAAAATAAGTTGTTTTTGTCTTCACCAAAGCAATATTCGTAAAAACTGAAAAAATAATACAAAATGAAGAAAAAGGTGCTGCTTATGGGCAAAAGCGGCTCAGGCAAAACCAGTATGCGTTCCATTATATTTGCAAACTACATAGCTAGAGACACGACGCGTTTGGGTGCGACCAGTAAGTAAAATGAACTGACGCCAGTAAAAATTTTCAACTAATAAAAATATGTTACAATATTGCACTTAAAGTTGACGTTGAGCACTCTCATGTACGTTTTCTGGGAAATCTCGTACTCAATTTATGGGATTGTGGCGGGCAGGAGGGCTTCATGCGGCAATACTTTGCATCTCAGAGAGATAACATTTTCCGAAATGTTGAAGTCCTCATATATGTATTTGATGTTGAGAGTCGTAACTTGGAACTAGATGTGCACTACTATCAATCATGCTTAGAAGCATTGTTACAGGTAGGCAATTTGGATTTTGAAATAATCTCGTTAGAAAGAATATTGTTTTTTTTTTTAAGAATTCGCCGGAAGCAAAAATATTCTGTTTGATACATAAAATGGATTTAGTCGCTGAAGAACAACGAGAATCTTTGTTCAAAGAGCGCGAAGAGGATCTCATTAAGCTATCCAAACCGGGAAATGTTACCTGCTTCCTTACCAGTATTTGGGATGAAACATTATACAGGTAATATTAAACGATAATTCAGATCGAATTCAGATAAATTTAATAAGTATGGTATATTTATATAAAGAGCTTGGTCCAGTATCGTCACAATGCTTATACCCAATGTGGCCGTATTGGAGAACTCTCTAACGCATTTCGCCAATGTTATTGAGGCCGATGAAGTGTTACTTTTCGAAAAGGCCACTTTTCTGGTTATTTCACATTGTCAGAGCAAAAAGAACCGCGATTCACATCGTTTTGAGAAAGTCTCTAATATAATAAAACAATTTAAACTAAGCTGTTCGAAATTGGGCGCCAAGTTTCAATCGATGGAGGTACGTAATAGCGCCTTTGCAGCTTTCATAGATACCTTTACCAGCAATACATACGTGATGGTTGTCATGTCTGATCCAACAATACCTTCCGAAGCGACTTTGGTTAACATACGTAATGCGCGCAAATCTTTTGAAGAATTAGAGAATCCAAATAGCAACGCAATGAATCATCATCAGTATCACTGATATAGGATGTAGGTGCACTGCACTGTTAACGAGAGGTTTTGAAATGCAAATATGTAAATTTTTTTGTGATTTTCCTTCATTGTAGAGAAAAGAAGTTTTGAAATTTAGATTTGTAAAAGTTTATAATGAAGCTTGATTCGTATTGGAGCTTAAATTAAGTGTATTGAATTGGATAAAATTGTATATRAAGTAAATATGCGAAAGTTATTGAAGAATTGTAAAACGATTTGCTTTGAAGATAAAWTATGCATAAGGTAAAATGTTTATACGTATATAGTAACTACATAAAATATTTTCTTACATTAAAAACACAATTTAAGCTCCAAGAATGAAGAAGGTGACATTTAAAGAGCGTAATCATTTACCATATAAAGCAACGCAGCTCAGCTCATTTCRTTCTCTCGATTTTCAGTACATATTTTTTATAGTTATTAATTGTTGCTTATTAAAATTTAAAAAAAAATTTGAACGCTTTATTATACAAATTTAAAGTTTACAGTACAGAAATGTCTTTATACATACATACATAYGCCACATATTTTTATAGTTACAATAACGGTGTGTAAAGCTATATAATATGCTATCTTTACATTAATATAAGCGGTTAATAAATCATTTTTATAACTACACGACTTATTGGTATAATTTTTAATTAGGAATAACATACATTTGAACAATATATGTATATGTTCTTTAGAGGTAATTTCTGATTAATTGGAATGAATTCCTTAATGCACTTACACTTACATACTTACATATACATGCACGCACTTATATGACACAGTAAAGAAAATTAAAAATGTGTAAATTCAAAAATTTGGCTAGTATTTGGTGCTGCATTTAAATGCAACTTATTCAGATTCCTATCACAGTCAACTTACATTTGTTGTTTACTATATGCACTTACGCTCCCTACATGCATATGGGTATTATATTATCTTAATATTACGGTCGTCATGAGTAATAGCGACGCACTTCTTCTGTCAACTTTCCAACTGTGCTCTCATCGACCGGAATGAAACGTTTAGCACCGCGACTGAAATAATAAACGTCACCAGTGTAAATGTCAAACCATAACGCATGAATATGGAGATCATGTGATTCAAGTCGCGACTTCAAGAAGCCATATGAAGCCACATTCGATAACTGCTGTAACGTATTGATCTGCGACAATTTATCTTCTATAGCAAATTTATTTTCCGGATCAATATAAGCCACAAAACGGCGTAAAGGTGTTTCAGAAGAGAATATCAAAGGACCTTGCATGCCTTCTTTTTTCCAAGCTTTGAAATGATCAAGACTGCTGCTAGCGTGTGTCCACATCCAAGATCGTAAGGGTGACAGACGTCTATTTAACTACACAAATTGGCTAAGGTAAGTAGACAGTTACACATTAACAACTTCGAAACAATAGCAACTTACTTGTGATGAGTATTCTTCATCCTGTAGTTTATATAATAGATTCATTGCCTTACAATCGCTATGACCGCACACAATAATATGACGTATATCGTTGATGATACAGCCCAATTCCAGTGCAGCCGGCTCGCAGCTGAAGTATTCATCCTGAAAGTGTTGGGCATGCGGTATCACATTTCCGGCGTTACGCACTGTAGTGCAGATATGAGAAGAACGATAAAATGTAAATTAATGATATCGCAAAATACGTTTATACATATTCATATAGGTATAAAAAGCATTTATCGAAGGACTGTAATGTATGTATGCAAGTTGTTGTACAAACCTACAAACATATCGCCGACGTGCGTATCTGTGTAGCGGGTTGGTATCATACGACTGTCCATGCAAGTGAAGAAAACTGCCTTGGGCTATGTTTGACCCATGCGTTATGAAAATAAAATAATTCAAAGCTGAAGTATTATTACATACACCATTAAATATATCTTTAACTACATATATTTACGTGCAGGCATACATTTGTGGAAGTTATTTACAAGTTAATAAGTGGTTAAATTAGTTTTCATATGTACAAATATGTGCGAATATAATTATTTATTTCAAAATTTAAAAAAATGCAATTAAAAAATTATGTGTGGGAAAATTCAGACGAACTACGAATTTCTAAATTGTATACTTTTGTTTTGTAAATGTATTGTTTAGACTAGTAAATTCATCAATTTTTAATTGCTACTTATGATGTCATTTCTAAATTCTCACTTACATTAGTTAAATGAAAAAACCTGTAATAACTAACTCCAACCGTCATAATTGGAAAATAAACATTTCCTCCAATATGTAATTAATTCGTGACGATTTGAGCGTGAGACTTTAAAACCATCAATATCARCCACATTTTAACATAAACTCATAGTCTTATTATAATATTCAGTGTATTATTTTGAGAACTTTGTATAAAAACTGATGTTTAATAGCTCAGGTACTCTTATATTATATATGTACCTATATATGCGACTTTTAATTAATTTATTTTACCAGAAAATATTTGAAGCAATAAATATTTTAATTCAACGTCTACCGGTTTTATCAATTTAATATTTAGTATTAATTTTCCGTATGAACCTATTTATGCTATGATATCCAGCTAGATAACTTTGATACGGATATGGTGTCAAATAGATTAATATATGCGCATTGCCATACGTATACACATATATGTCTACATTAGCTACGTATATGCGTGTGCTTAGAGAAGATAACAAAAATAAGGGCCTATAAATCTGTTCCTGCTAAATTTTGTATACCTGAATCAGCTATTTTAATAATTTTTTAGTCTAGCAGTCTACGTGCTGAAGATGAACACTTTTAGAAAATTTATTTCTTTTTTTTTTTGTCAGACATTGTTCCAAGCAACTTACCGAAGATGAAAAATTTTACAAAAAAAAAAAAGCTAATTTAAATAAATCAATTACTATCCATATGTACACAAAGAAATGCATAACCACACGTATATTTAGGTAAAATAGATTTACTAACATACATAGGTGTATTTATTTCACGAATTGGTGTAATTTTAACGTATTTCTAATTAGGAATAATTAAGAACTGGACTCACAGTTTTACAGTTTCCGAAAGAATATACTTACAGTTTTTTATAGTATTTTCGACATACATTTGTATAATAAAAGATATTGAAATATTCCACCAACATCAAGTTAATCAAAACTCGCATCTTATAAAATAACAACCAAATAATTGAAATAAGTTCCCTAGGAAAGTTTAAGTTTTCTTTACAATATAATTAAACCACTTACTGGTGTAAATRTGTACTCATTTTGTATAAAAAATAATATTTATCTAGCTGTCTTTTATGAAAATTGGATATTATTTACTTATTTTATTTCTTAAAAAAAATATATATATTTTCTTTTCAACTTAATGAAAATACGTGTATATATAAATATGTACATATGTATGTATATACATAAGTGTGTATAGGCATATACCTACGTATAAACATAAGCATTGATAACATAAAACGCTCAAAACTTTCCAAAACAAACCTTCATATTATATGTGAACATTCATATACATACTACCTCATAAGACAACAAAAAAAATTGATTTGATTGTGCTAGGTTCGAAAAATTATTGTTCATTTTGATTACACCCAAATTTTACTAACCATTCAAATCAGAACGGAAAATTTGCAAAAGAGATTATAATAAAAAACATGCTACAGCCTCATTTTAGGTACATATATAAAAACGTATGTAACTATAACTATGTATATAAGTTATAACATGTTTGATTTCGTAGAGGCCATGTTGACTTCACATGCAAAATCGTTTTATTTATTAATACATTTATAGCTACACACAAATTATTGCAAACATCAATATCATTAATTTGTATGTATGTATATAAATATTGCGTTCACGTGCGACCAGCTATGTATATACACATACATACATACATATGTATGAGCGACACGGTATGTCTATAAAAATGAACTCATCTATGCTATGTACGATATTTATACATACCTCAGGATGATCACGAACTTTTTGAAATTCCTTTACCATCTGTTCGCGTGTCGTATTCCGATAACGCATAATACCACGCAATATTCGCTCCATATTCAAACTATTTGGTTCGACCTTTTCACCAGCTTCTACACAAATGTCCTTCAACTCAGGTAATAGATAAAAAAAAAAAAACTAAATTCACGCATGCATATGTACATACACTATGGGTATATGTATGTATAAATAGTTGCTTTTTTCGGCTATACTTGTTAGTTATTTACATTTAGTTATTTTTTCGCCGCACTAAATTTATTTCGGTACTAATATACGCCTTGTAATAAATATGTAGCAGAAAAGTTCGAATACTTTATCAAAAATTAATGCACTCGAACCTTTTGCGACGCTTTCATAAAGCTGACTGAACTGTTGGACGCGTAGTCGCGATTCTCCGGCCTCGCGAGACGCTCATCCATTCAATTCGTGCATGTACATATTTCTTTGGTTTTGTTGTGTTTTCCAATTTCTGCACTCGACTGTTCCGTTCTAAACGTTAACACTTTTTACTCGCTAGACTTCTTTCTACTTTTTTATTTACTTCCATTTTTTTCGTTTAGTAACGTCTGGAGAACAAGTTTCGCGTTGAAAGTTTAATTCTTTCTTTTCATTAATGTCTAGCAACTGTGAGAGTAATCGCATGTTTTATTCACTACTGCATTTCGYGGCCAGTCCACATGAATCTTGAGTAACTGTTCGTTTAAAGTTCACTCGTTGCGCTTTTAGCGGTAAACTTGTACTCCTATAGACATAGCCACTTAGTTTAAATACTCGTTACCGATTCTAAACGGGCTCGGGTTGACACTCTTATACATACATACGTATATATGGATGTGTTTAACCACGAGTAAAAAAGCTACAAACAATACCGTGAGACAGTGAGAGCACTCTTTAACATTCTCTACCTTAGCTCTGGTCAACAGGCGTATACTTGTTCTCCAAATTSAGACGTCTAAGAGAGCTTTTTATGCCATGCACAACAATTACAGTTATAATGTGAAATTCGCCAATTCGTCTAAAAACATTGTGTTCAAAATACCTTTAATATTATATATTAGACCAAATAGTATAAATTAGATAAAATTTTGATGAATGTTCTTTACAGATCAAAGCTAATGACTTAAGCTAACCATGGGACAAATCCTTACCAATTTAGAAACTGTATGGATCACATTTTATAGATTTTGTTGAGGCATCAGATTTTCTAATTAATTTAATAATAATCCAAGGAAATATTTTTTGTTTTGCATTACTCGAAAAGTATGTATAGATTTTCCCAAACTATACATTATATATAACTAAGCTAAATTAGTTATAATGTATCAGCTAATTGCGAATTAATGTATCCGATTCAATAAGAACAACAAAATTGGAAAAACCAAGCATCGACATTATAATTTTGATGTAAATTGTAAATATCTCTGGGATCTCCATTCATTTAATTTGGTGTTCAGTCTTAATATCAAATTCGGAAAAAAATTGAAAATTAATTTTATAAAAAAAAAATACACGTTTAACATACTTATTCTGTTTCACGTTTGAGCCTTAGCTTGGTCAGCACTTTGCTTAATCTTACATCTTCTAAAATCGAAATTAATCTCTGCAAAATGCGTTTAGGAAATCCGAAATTC